CCCCTTCCCAGTGTTCCCAGTGCCCCTTCCCAGTGTTCCCAGTGCCACCTACCCCTTCCCAGTGCCAGTGCCCCTTCCCAGTATCCCTTCCCATGTTCCCAGTGCCAGTGCCCTTTCCCAGTGCCCCTTCGCAGTGTCCCAGTGCCACCCACCCCCTCCCAGTGTGCCTTCCCAGTGTTCCCAATGCCCCTTTCCAGTGCCAGTGCCCCTTCCCAGTGTTCCCAGTGCCACCACCCCTTCCCAAGGCCCCTTCCCAGTGTTCCCAGTGCCAGTACCCCTTCCGAATACCCCTTCCCAGTGTTCCCAGTGCCACCTATCCCTTCCCAGTGCCCCTTGCCCCTGCCCCGTGCCCCTGTGACGTCCCTCGTGTCTCCCCCAGGTCTTCGTCACCAACCCGGACGGGTCACCGGCGCCTCATGTCAGCGTCCAGGCCGATGGGTTCCAGGGCCAGGTGTCCACCCAGCGCGACGGCACCGCCCGACTCGTGGTCAACATGCCGGCCAACAAGGACAGCGTCCCCATCACCGTGAGTGGGGACACCGGCATGGGGGGGACAGGGGTGACACCTCTGTGGTGGCCTAGACCTCTGTGGTGGCCAAGACCTCTAGAGGTGGCCTAGAGCTTTACGGAAGCCTAGACCTCCATGGTGGCAAAGACCTCTACAGTGACCTAGTGGTGGCCAAGACCCCTATGGAAGCCCAGACCTCCATGGAGGCCTAGATGTCTCCCTTGGCCAAGACCTCTCCAATGGTCAAGACCTCTACAGTGGCCAAGATCTCTCCCTTGGCCAAGACTTCTACATTGGCCAAGGTCTCTCCATTGGCCAAGACCTCTCCCTTGGCCAAGACCTCTCTGTTGGCCAAGACCTCTACATTGGCCAAAACCTCTCCATTGGCCAAGACCTCTCCCTTGGCCAAGACTTCTACACTGGCCAAGACCTCTCTGTCAACCAAGACCTGTCCATTGGCCAAGACCTCTCCGTTGGCCAAGACCTCCATGGAGGCCAAACCCTCTGTGCCGATCCCCACCCAGGCGCAGCCCCCTCCCCTCTGACGGGGTGTCCCCTGTCCCCCCCCAGGTGCGGACGGTGCAGGAGGGGCTGCCCCCCGAGCGCCAGGCGTCGCGGCAGATGACGGCCCAGGCCTATCGCAGCCAGGCCAACTCCGGAAACTTCCTGCACTTGGCCGTGCAGGCCACGGAGCTGAGGGCCGGGGAGAACCTGCCCGTCAACTTCCACCTCAAGACCAACAACAACGCCGTCCGCGACGCCGTCCAGTACTTCACCTACCTGGTGGGTGCCACCCCGGCTCGGGGCTTGGGCTGGCTGAGGTGGTTTGGCTGAGTGACCAATGACCACGGCCAAGGTGATCAGTGACCATGACTAGGGTGACCAATGACCATAGCCAAGGTGATCAGTGATCATAGCCAAGGTGATCAGTGACCATGACCAAGGTGATCAATGACCATGACCAGGGTGACCAATGACCACGGCCAAGGGGATCAATGACCATGACCAGGGTGACCAATGACCATGGCCAAGATGATGAATGACCATGGCCAAGGTGATCAATGACCATGACCAGGGTGACCAATGAGCATGACCAGGGTGACCAATGACCATGACCAGGGTGACCAATGACCAT